GTTGTTAAAGTGGGGTAAGTATATCCTACTTAAAGAAGAGCACGTTAACTCTGGTTTTGAGGAATACTAGTTTCAGTGTTAGCAATCTAATCTGTTTGAATTGCTTTGGGCCAAAAATGCATGACAACAGACCTAATTTTCAGTATATGGAACCATTACATGTGCTATGGGCCTATACCAGGGGTATCCAAACTTTTTTCAAAGAGGGCCAGATTTTATGACGTGAACATGCGTGAGGGCCGACCATTTTGCCTGACATTCTTTGAACCATTAAAATTAAACGCAAATTAACTATTTTATGCAAAGTTTATTGCAAACGGCATACTTTTCATTCCGTCACATGGATGACCAATCTAAACAGGTGTTAAATCACTCTGCCTTTCATATCTGAAGGCCAGATGAAAAAAAAATCCAGGAAGCTGAAATATGTCAGGAACATTGTAAAGTACATTACATATTATTGGTAATAAAGGTTGTCTGTCAACTTTTAAGTTCAAAAAATATGAACAGGAACATAACACCAAGTATACATGTTGTGTCCAAATATATTTATAACTGATTTAGACCAACTGACATTAACTGAGATTTTACAATGTATTCATCTCAATACATATGGATTCGCTGGGGGCCATAAAAGATAGATATTGCCAAATTACCTGTGGGGCCGTATTAAACCGGAACACGGGCCGCAATTGGCCTGCGGGCCGGACTTTGGACATGCCTGGCCTATACTATTATTACCATTCACAGTGTTGAGAGAAGTGGTATGCAAACATTGTAAAGCTCAAGGCCTGCTGGCAGCTTGCCGAAAGCCAGAGAGTTGTGACTTTTAGTAAAAGAAAGGCATACACCCCAACTGATAGTCTTGATTTTCAGAGGTGGTGTGCATCTGCAACTGCCAATGGAAGCCTCCATTTCACTGAGGAACAGTTGGACTTTTTGAATTACACTGGCACTGTGTGATCCAAGCCTTGGTGTATCACTATAGCCGGATCCTGCATGAATGTTTAGATGGGGTGAAAAAAGCCTTATATGTTTTTAGTAGTGCTCTTCTCCCCCCCTCCCTTTTTGTGTGTGTGTGCGGTGGACAGAGGCATGGTATTCTCACCCCACAATAGACATGAATGAGGTATCCAGCCTCACTGTACAGACTATGAACACCAATTGAGTCACAAAGCCAAACCTGACTCTGAAAATCCTGATAGACAACAGTGCAATTGAAACATCTCCCCCAGCCAAGGCAGGCAGACTTATGCCACGAGGGCTTCAGCTAGTGCACACTAAAAGTAGCAATGGATATTGTTGCACGAGCAGAGGCTTGGGGTAGCTACCTGACTTGGATTCACCCCGCTTCCTGGATTTGAGCTCAGGTGGCCAGCCTGAACCACTGTGGATGTAGCATAATCCATGCTGTGTTTATTGTGTTGCCTCAAACTCCTCTAATGCAAATCCGTCTGCCTGGCTGGAAGGCTCGTTCCCAGTGGCAGTGTAGACCATATAGGTGTGAGTGGCATAGACTTGACTTGTAATCACAGCTGTTCTGTGAAAATCTTTGTATCCTTGCTAGCACTAGTGTGTATGTATGTGTCATTCTGTCACTGCATTAGGGATTTGGAGTTGTGTTGCTAATGCTAACATTGTGTGTACTGTAGATGGGGCCTTTTATAGGTGGAAAAGGCAGAAGCTTTCACAGCTCTAGCTGCTGCTTCTTGCTTCTCCATTCCATAAATATTTATAACTTGTGAGTTATGTGCATATCATTGACTTCCAGGTCCTCTGATGTAGAGAGAGCTTTTATGCAGGCAGATAAGGTATTCTAAAATTTTAGGTAGGAATCTCATTTCTTCTTAAGTGGATTGGATTGTGTATTATAAACAATGTTTTGTCTGATGTGCTGAGTTTGCTATTAGTTGGTGGTGCAGCTAATCATGGCGGTCCATAATGTGCATTTGTGTGCATTAGAATGGGAGTTCTTAGCCAGGGGTACGCAGAGGGCTTCCAGTGGGTACCTCAATTCAGCTAAATATTTGCTTGGTTTTATAGCAGCCTACATAAAAAGCAGTAGCCGAGTCAGTAGAAACTAAAATTTCATATAGACAATGACTTGTTTATACTGCTCTATATACTATACCCTGAAATGTGAGTACAATATTTATATTCCAATAGATTTATAATATGGTAAAAATGAGAATGTAAGCAATTTTTCAGTAATGTGCTGACACATCTGTTTTTATGCCTGATTTTTTGTAAACAAGTAGTTTAAGTGAGGGGAAACTTGGGATATGCAAAATAAATCACTTCTGAAATAGGTACAGTAGTCTGGAAAGTAGGGATGTAAGCGACTAGTCTATTATTGGATAAGCATAAGCTTATCAGAAAGCCGAATAATGACTCTACTAGTCACTCCCTCTCCTTCCCTTTTGCTGCCTCTATCAGAGAGGCATCCAGGGGAGGGGAGATCAGGAGCTGGTACTGGGGGGAGGCAGGGGCATAGCAGGGAAACAGTGCAAGTGGGGACTGAAGCAGTCTCTGCTCGGGCTGGTTCCCCCTGAGGCACTTCAGCCTTTGAAATATACAAGAGTCTTGCTGTGGTGCTTCAGCACACTAGTCTAGGGCTGTTTGCCATGAGCAGGGGCTGCTGGACTCATTTAAAATGCAGAGCTGCAGCATGGGTGGCTCTCGGAGCTCTGCAGAGCAGTCCTATCGACTAATCATATAGTCGATACAGATTGTATTGACTATACAATTAGCCTGATAACCTCATTTTAATATCCATACTGGAAAGTTGAGAACCACTGCTTTAGAATACCAAGCTTCTAATATTTAATTAGAGGACATCAAAGGAAATGAAGTAAAAAAGATAGATTAGTGTGCATCATTATAGTCAGACAAGGATCACGGTTTTAAATTCCCAGGACTTGACACACATCATTGGATCGCTTCTAAAGTGAGACTTTCTCTTACTCTGTTAATTTGGGAAGGGAACAAACACAATAATTTTTTCAAACATATTGCCAATAAGATTTGTAAACAGATTAATTTTATGTATTTGGGGAATAAAGCATTTTGGGGTTGGTTTGTTTTTTTCAGCTTTAAAAGACCGAGAATATTAGAGTTGATGAAAACTTGTTGAAATACTCTCCCATTATCACCCTTTAGAATGATTGTGCTGTGTATTTAATTGTATGACCATTGTCACAGCCACTCCTACTATTTTTCAAATTCTGAATTTTAAGAATCCTAAAACATGGATTTTTAGAATAACATAAAAGATTGTTTTTTTGAGCAAGCCCAGTACAGTAGGAGACCTGTAAATGGAATTGGATGTTGAAAGTGGGGGACTGAGCACAAAACTGGGCACCAGTACTAATCAATCAAAATGCAACCCTTCAAATACTCTAATTTTTAAGAGGTTTACTCAGTTACTTACATTTGGATTTATAAAACAAATACTTAGCACTTGGATAAATATCGTGAAGAACTTTTGAAAACACCATTGCACTGAAGTCAAATACAGTCAAAACCAAGAAACTTAAAGATTTGTAATATATTACAATTCAAGGACAGAGTAAAATCCAGTACAACCCAGATCATCAGTTGTATTAGCTCATTGTGTTTTAAAGGCATTAGTCTATCCCTTTTAAAAGGTAACTGCCACTTTATTCATCAAGGTTTGCGTTAATAGTACAAAGCGAACTGCTCAATAGAAAAGTGCCTGCTTCATCTTTGCAAGGAAACAAACGCTTTAAAAGAAAATATACTTGGTCGGATTAAAGCTTTAATTTGGTTTTCAGTTACTTATTCGGTTAACAATGTTTTATGGAAAAGTGCTTCCCCTGTTTATTGCCTGGTGATATTATTGAACTGAATTTTCATCTAGCCTAATGTGTGTGTGTGTGTGTGTGTGTGTGTGTGTGTGTGTGTGTGTGTGTGTGTGTAAAATGTTACTTCTCAATAAAACGTTCCTGTTTAATGTTGCTTTTCTGTCAAGTTGTCACCAGCAATTATCTGAACCACCAATTTTAATTAACAGCCTTTTAAAAATAGAGCTCACAACTTGAATAAAATTTTCTATGCGTACTGCAATTTCCATTTGAAGATTTCAAAGCAGTTTCCTACTTTGCTTAAGCAATGCTTCTATTTGAGCACTGAGTACCTCTTCCGTTTGCCCCATCTTTGAGTTATTTTTTTGTTCAGTGCTTTATTGTGGCATTCAATCACTCACTGGGAAAATAGGCTCACCTTTAGGGCTATCATTATTACTGTATTTTTTTTCTCTTCTTTCTCTTCCTGACTTTTCCCTCCTCCCAGAGGATTTCACTTTAGCAGATGATACAGGGAAGGCATTAAAAGCGATGAGGCAACAAGATAGTTAAATGTCAGAATGTTTGTTTGCTGGCCAAATTCAGACAACAGTTGAAACATCTCCAGTGACAAGAGCTCCAGCTTGTTCTGCCATCTGCTTGCTCTGCCTTGCTTGTCACTGTTGCACAGTGTTCATAGCAGCCCTTGCATGTCAATTCATAGTTTTTACCAAACATTGATAGTAATAGCATATACATACATCTAGATTTGCATGTTACACATCCTTGAAAACTTGATACATTGATGTGTGTATTTTGACAGAGGAAGGTGAACACTTGAACCCTGTTATTTGAGTAACTGTAAAAATCGCATGCTTTCAAATGAAGTACAGTGTAAAATACTCTTAAGAGTTTACAATGGGCTGATAGCAAATAAAATTTGAGCCCTTTTAACACTGGAGTGATTTACTTAGTCCTTGAATACTGCCAGCACATAGCATGACTAATGAGCAGTTACCAGAATAATCAGAGGAAATTACTTTATTCTAGTGCTACTCATGGGAGCCAAGTATTTTAATCTCCCAAAGACTATTTAAGGCATATGTAGGGACATAGCTACCTTATAGGTAACAGCATCATAATGGAAATCTTTGCAGTGTGAGTATTGTTTAAATTACAGCTTTTTTTTGTCTTCAGGTGTCAACGGAAACAATGGCGGATAGACCTGCCAGCCACTAGTGTAGTGATCACCTTCCACAACGAGGCAAGATCTGCTTTACTTCGAACTATTGTCAGGTATACAGAGATCCTATGGCCCTGAAAGTCACTCCCATAACTGTTTTTTCAAAAGTAGGGATGTAAAAAGTTGTTTAAAAATGTAACTGTGTGAAAATGTTACTATGTAAATTGCTTTATACTGCATTACTCAAAGAGCATGTAACCGTGTAACCACTAAGATTATAAAGTTTTATATATAAGCTTTATACTGCAGAGCCTGCAGCGAAGCTGGCTCTCCAAAAGCGGACCCAGCAAGAGCTGCCAGCCATGCTGCTGGGGAAGCTTTGCAGCCACAGTGGGGCCCACAATAAAGGCTGCTAGCTCTGCAGCCAGCTCTCCAGGAGCAGGGCCAGCAGCCCCTGCCAGCCCAGCTCCCAGGGAACCAGCATGTAACATGGTGGCGGGGCGGAGGTTACAAGGGTCTGCCACTAACAAGCTGCTCCAGCTGCCAGGAGCTGCCCCTGTCTGTGGTGTGCACAACAGAGCTGGAGCAGCCCCTTGCCCAGAGCAGGTGGGGAGCTGCTCCAGTGCCTACTGGTTAAGCAGAACTGGTAAGCCTCACTCCTTAAGTGTGAGGCTTACCAGTTAACTATTTACATCCCTCTTGGAAAGTAAACCCTAATTACTTACCTGATTTCTCTTTTTCCCAGTGTACTTAAAAAAAGCCCATCACATCTTATCAAAGAAATCATACTGGTGGATGACTACAGCAATGATCGTAAGTACTGTCATGGGGCCTAAGCCTTCAATATCCTTACTCGTGTCACTTGAGGTTTGGAGTCGTAGGTAGGGATATAAGCGACTAGTTGACCATTTTGCTTATTGGATCGTCAACACACTAGTCGAGTAGTCGCTTCCCCACCCCTTGTTGCCTATATCAGAAAGAACCGGCTTAAAAGCAGGTTCCCCGCTGCTCCAGCTCTGTGGGAGGGGGCATGGGTGCAGCAGCGGAGTTCTACCTTTGTCATGTACAAGAGTCCCCGCTGGGGCTCTTGTACATTTCAAAGTGGAAGCACGGCATGGAGCCCAGGGTCAGTGAGGGACTCCCCACTGGACCCAGGCTCCATGTGGCATTTCAGTCTTTGAAATGCATGAGAGCACCTGCTGGGGCTCTTGTACATTTCAAAGCGGAAGCACCGCATAGAGCCCAGAGTCAGCAGGGGACTCCCTGCTGGTCTCGAGCTCCACTCAGCGTTTTAGTCTTTGGCTGCTCTTGCTACATTTCAAAGCGGAAGTGCCTTTATTGACTAATCAAATAGTTGATGGAAATTAGTTGATTAATCTCATTTTAACATCCCTAGTTGTAGGTTCAGTATTTGATCTTAGTCTGTCAGATTTGTTGTCCTTGCCATTTAACTGTGAAGAAACATGCAATATGTAGTTCTTAATTACATCTTGCTGGGTGCACATGACATAGGAGAAAGAGCTTGCCATACTATATACATGGTTTTTATTATAAACTTGTAATATTTGTACCAGTTACTTGATACCACTGCTGTATGTAATAAATACATACATATAAATATTAATATTGCTACTAAGAAATAGAAGCATAACTCAGTTTTCATTAGGCTTGGACAATGCAATTAGGCATCAGTATAATTCTGATTAGAAGTCAGTTTCTATTTCATTTCACTTGTGAGTTCATGCAGTAGCAGGATTCTGTGAAGTTGGGTTGTGAACACTGCAGAGACATAATACCTTTTTTGAAAGTTTCAAGAAAAATCTGCAAAAGCTTGTTTCTACAAAATGTAAAAGTTGCATCTAAAATAATGTTGGCAGGATACCTTGAATTTACAAGAACATCCATTTTGTAGCACATTAGAAGTATACCTCAGAAATATTGGAAAAACTTAAGGCAAGCTCATTTTTACAGTTTGAAGTCAGAATGAATCTCCCTTGTCAAAGAGGTGAAAAATTATTCATTTATAAGTAATTAAAATGTAAATATTTTGAAACTTGAATGTTTTGCTTTTAATTGTAGAGCAGTTAATTTTATAATTGTCAAGCTGCATATCATTCATTTTAATTCATGTCTCATCTAGCTGAGGATGGTGCTTTGTTGGGGAAAATTGAGAAAGTGCGGGTTCTTCGAAATGATCGTCGAGAAGGTGGGTTTTGTGGAATTCCTTTGAAGAGGGGAAAATGCAGGCCTAAAATACAAGATAGTTAGTTAGCAAAAAAACTAACAGTGAACTTGAAAAATAAATAAATATGTGCTATACATATTCCCTATCTCTTTGTGCAAAGAAGTATACGCAGGTTAGTAATACAATAAATAAAGTAATGGCTAGGTGTGAAAATAAGAATTTTTCAGTCTGATTCAGGCACTTTTCCTCTCTCACTTTTTCTTCCCCCCATAGAAATGGCACAGTAGTCCCTAGCTTCACAGCATAGGAACCCTTTAGACACCAGTTTCTTTAATACGCGGTTTAAAGCCTTACGGCTATGGGACACTGTCCTGCAGCTATTAGTTGATATAACTTTGGGGTTGACAGTTCATTCACAGCTACATTAGCTATCAAGAGATGTCCTTTTTCACTTGTATAAATATTTGCCTACTAGGCTGCCAGTCTTGCCCCTGGAGCACTAGAATTATTGGATGTTTAAGTAACTATAAGAGTGCCTGGTTTTGGACATTGACACACTTTAAACCTCTTGACACTGTGTAAGTAAAGGTATATGAGGCACAAGAATTTCCACGCAGCTAGGTGTTCAGTGCATGAATATGTTGTTTGGATTTTACTTTTAAGCAATGCTTTGTTGGGCGGGGGAGGGGAAGAATATTTATGACATATGAAGAAGATGTTTAAACATGGAATGAGAAGTTCTAGTTTTGTGAGAATAGTTCAGCGTTGAGGGTCAGATGCCAAACTAGAAGTAATTGAAGATGGAGGAGTAGAAAGTGTGCTCAAGGAATTCTGAGGTAGAAGGAAAGGGGAGAGATTTGGTATTGATGTCCCGTTTTGCAAAGTTAGGGTTTGTCTATGCATGTTAGTTACACTACTTATCTATACCAGTATAATTTAAAGCGGCACAACCCCCTCCAGTGTGGGTGGATCAGTATTACTGCATCTGCCCTAGAGTTGCACTGGTATAACTTGGTAGAAAATCATATCTACTCAAAATAATTAAGAGATGGTCTATGGTTGTGTATGTGTGTCTCTGTGTGTGTCTCTGTGTCTGTGTGTGTGCCTGTACATGTGTGTGTGTGTCTCTGTGTGTGTGTGTGTGTCTACGTGTGTTTCTGTGTCTGTCTGTGTGTGCGTGTGCGTGTTTGTGTGTGTGTGTGTGTGTGTGTGTGTGTGTGTGTGTGTGTGAGAGAGAGATATATATATATATGGGGTTTTTTTTTTCTTTTTTTTACACTAAGGAGACCAAAACTTAATCACCTTTGGTGATTTTATTTTGTAATTATTTCACTAAATCTACACTAGCAGCTTGTTTTATAGCTAGGCTTGTTAAACAGGCTTCCTGGATTGGAGTACTAATTACATTTTGGAGAACTGAGCTATTGTCTCATTATTGATATTCTTCTTCCTCTGATGACTTTTTTTCTTCCTCAGGCTTGATGCGCTCTCGTGTCAGAGGGGCAGATGCAGCACAAGCTAAAGTCTTGACATTCCTGGACAGTCATTGTGAATGTAATGAGCACTGGCTGGAACCTCTTCTGGAGAGAGTAGCTGAGGTTAGTTTAAGGTGTATGCTTACTGGGCATAAAATTATTTATACTCAATTTATTGTATGCATCTGTAAAAAGATTTTCTCTTTGAAGTGAGAGAAGGCATGACTGTTCAAAGATGAAATCCCACTTTTTGGTCATTTAATCTAATCAGTAGGGCTTAAAATACTCTTAATTTTTCCAATTCTAACAGGCTTCTCGGTTCTTCAGTGACTTTTCTCAGGAACCTTTTAAGAAACTGTAGGGTTAGATATAATTCTCATGCCCAAAGGGACCCAAGAAGTAAACTGGATTTCTGAGCCAGTACAGCTCTTTGTAGAGGAAAAATATTTTTTCCCCCAAGGCTTCTGTCTATTTCTGTTCTCTGTGACAGTACAGTTCCACTGTGTGCACTCTTTTGGCTACACTTCACTGGTTTTAGAAAGTTAAATTGGGAGGTATAATATGTCATACAACCCCTTCATTAAAACAGAACATGGTACCTTTTTACTCTGGGTTTCTGACAGGAGAATGGAGCGCCAGCACTACTAAGTGATTTACTTGGAGGAAGCATTTGATGCATTTTGCTCCACATGCCAACTAAGTCCAGCGGTATAGAAATAGTTAAATACGCTTAAACTTGCTTCCTCCCCATTATGATACAGGAAATACCTCCTTTAGAAGCATATATATATGTATGTATGTGTATGTATGTATGTATGTATTAATCGTATATGAAATCTTGAATGATTCTCTGTTTGATATATTACAGTTTTCAGTTTCACTATTTGAATTGTAACAGCTTGGTTTTATATATTGTTCAATGAACATATGACTGGAAAAGCCCTTATGGATTTTTTCAGTTCACTTCCCAAATATTATAGGCAACCCATCATAAATCCTCTTTCTGAATGGGATGAGCATTGAAGAGTGGTGGAGTTCAGGTTTCTCGCTTGGGTTGATATTAGGATATGACGGGTTTTGCCCTTTCAAAAAGAAAAGCAAGACTCAGTGACTAGATGACTGGGGGTTTGAGAATGGAGCTTATTGCTTCCAGTCTTTGTGCCTGCACAGGTTGATAAGGATTGGACACAATTCATATGCAGTATGTGGTGGCTCCTGATTTCATAATGTGTTGATCTCAGACTTGCTCACGGTGCAAACCATATGTTGTTTGGCATTACTTGGCACTTTTTTGTACAGTCTCAGCCTAAAAACTGAATGGCTGTGAAAACTCACCTGTTTAAAGTCTAGAGGTGACTTCTTCAGGCCAGGGTTCAGACACATTTAATTGGGAAATGTAGAAAGACTGCATGCTGCTTTCATTACTACATCAGCTTTGTAGGTAACTAGAGGTCTTCTCTTTCTAGTGCTGCTCAAGAGTGACTTCGTTTTTACAAAGATGGAATACATTGTAAGAGGTGATAGAAAATGTGTAATGGGGAAGGAGAGTAGGCTAGCAGAACACAGCACAAATAGCTTAATGTGGAGACTGAATTGGATCCATTTATGGTGGACATGTGGTAATAGTGTTGCCACAGTAAGTGTAAGCTGCACCTTTTCCCTTCACAGATCTCTCCAGAGTATACCTGCCTCAGACATTATGACCCTGCCTTCTGTCTGGGAATGGAATTCCATGATTCTCTCACTCACAGACTGGGTTTCTGGGCTATAGCAGTTTACTTACCATGATTTCTCAACAGGCCCAATTGGGCTTGGCACTGCAAGAGCCTTCCCTTCAGGAGCTGTGGCCAATAGAGAAATCGAGTGACTCAAAGCACCTTTTTTAAAACAAAGTTTTGTACACAGGAACATAGCAATCAGAGAAAAGAGTTTAAAACAATAGAAGGCCTATACCCACAATGTCTTACCCATAGCTTGTCATTCCTCCAAAGCCAATTTATCATAGGTACTCCTTCTATTGACAGGGGCTCCATTTGCTTCCCTGCAGTAACTCTGTGTTTTATGGCCTCCTTTTTATGCCCCTCCAAAGTTTCTTTGTTTGATCTGGGTTTCCAGAAACGGGTCAAACCAGCTTATGCAACCCTACTGGGGGAGGTCAGGGATAGGCTTCAAAGTTGATGATTGTCTGCATTATCTGTTGGAAACTGGTAATTGGTTGTTGTTAAGCCACACTCCCGATCTTGGATGTGAGGTGAGCTCCTGCAGAAGCTAATCCTTTTGAAACCAGTTACCAAATATAATCTTAATCAGAGGTATCCAATATTCATAAAAATAATACAGGTAGTTCACATGTTCTTCATAAACCCAGAAATTATCCTTCCTATCTGGTGTTTCAAATTTCCTATATCTGTGCTTAAACAAAGATGGCATTTATATCTGGGAGCAGTTTAAGTCATACTCTCTACTGTAACAGCCTAACTATAGACTTGTATGTAAACGTTGAGTATTACTTAGGGTGACCATAATTCCCTATGCCCTATATGGGACACTGTGGGGGAAGAGGGGTTGTCAGCACTTGAGTCTTCAGCCCCACTGTGGAGGGGGGGTGCAGGAAATGAGATTGGAGGAGGGGGGAGCCCTGTGGCAAGGGCTGCCCAGGAACAGGGCTGAGCTCCATGTCCAGGGCCACCCGGGAACGGGGCTTCATCTCCGCGGAGTGGGCCTCCAGGGAACGGGGCTGATTGCTGCAGTGGAAGGGGGCACTTGGAAAAGGGGCTGATCACTGTGGCAGGGGGGTGCAGACCGAGAATGGGGCTGAGTCCTGCTGCAGGTGGGGGCTGCCTGGGAACTGGGCTTTAGCCCCACGGTGGGTGGGGGCCACCCAGAAACCAGACTTGAGCCCCGGGAGGGCAAAAGGCTTCAGCCCTGCAGGGAGGGCCGACTGGGAACAGAGCAGCAGCCAGCAGGGGTTGCTTGACAAGGGGGTTCCAGAACTTGGGGGTGCGCTGGCTTTCAGGGCTTCAGCTGCATGTTCCTGAAAGTCTGGCAAACTTCCCCCCTCTCCTTCTTTAGGGTGCACAGAGAGGGAAGACACTCCTACCAGATTTCTCCCTTGGCACCCTGCTTGACTCCACACACCACATGCTTTACCACCAGCCACAAATAGGAGGCTGCCGCAGCTGCACTGACCAGGAAACTCAAGGACCAGCAGGGGGCATGCAAATATGGGACATTTTGCCCCTTTTTAAAACAAAGTCGGGATGCCTGAGAGACAGCTTGAATACGGGGCAGTCCCAGTAAAAACGGAACCGTTGGTCACCCCAGTATTACTCTTATTTGACGGTAGTGGACTTCAAAACAAACTAGACATTTAGAAGAAGAAAGGATGGCATTGTGATTAAGGAGTGAGACTTGGGTTCTATTTCCATGTTTGTCTCACGTTTCCCATGTTATCTTCAGTGAATCTCTTAAACTCTCGTCACACAACAGCAGAATGAGGATATCAGTAGGTCCTCTTAGTAATATCATGAAACAATTTAAAATCCTCTAGATAATATTTAGGGTCATGGCTGGAACTCTGCTATATTCTGGCAATCCCCTCTTGGTGCAACAGCCCCTTATTGGGGAACAGCACAGATGATTTGGGCATCTGGGACTGCCACTCAGCTGAGCCAAGGACAAGTATTTTGGAAACTTCAGCTTGCAACCCTCTGCGACTGTGGGGCCTACTTACGTTCCTCCCTGGTCTCACGCATCTGGGCCAAGTTCCTCTGGGCAGCGTCCACTGGCTCTATCAACAACTTCAAGGCGCAATGGGTGCAGTTTGGGGTTCTCTGCTCGGTGTCCCCTTCCGGTTCCCTCATTTTGAACCTTCGACCCTGACCTTTTTTCATCATTTGTCCCCAGGAATCAGCTGGGCCTGGGTCTAGTTTTCCCTCCCTCAATGCTGGGGGAGGGGCTTTAGAAGTGGCCAGGCTAATGCCTGCGCACTCCCAGTGTTCAAATAGGAACCGGAAAGGTTCTCTCAGAGATGGGTACAGATCCCTCACTTTCAACTGAGGAATGAGCTATTTAGAGTGCAATTCTTGCTACACGTGTATTGTACCATATTGCTATTATATACTATATAAAAACCAGATGAGCTGCAGTGCTTCTGGGTGCTCACCGTGGCTCCCAGTTATTTCTAATTAGGGGAGTTTCAGACCACTATCTGAGTATTGGAAATATTTTTTACCAAAGTAAAAACAAACACTATTGTTCAAACATCTTACTTTCTGGAGGTTTTCATCTTTTTTTTTTTTTAATGTATTACTCATTCCTATAAATCAAGTATACTAGAGCCTAACTATTCCCTTAAACTGTTTGGAAAATTGACTGCTCATTTGTGAGTACAAAGGGGTTCATTTAGTGCTAGCTTTTATCTGTGTGGCTTCTATTTAGGATTGGAGCAAGTAGATACTTAAAGGGTGGGGAACAAAAAAGGCTGTGTTGCATTTTCCATCTTGTTCTATCTCCATTTTGATTTGTGCCTCTGGGTTTTTCTAAAGTAATTAGACCAAACTAATTATTCCATTATTTGTCCCGCTACTGTGAATGCAACAGTGTGCAAGGTTTAAAATCTTTGGTGAAAGATCATACTTGCCTATATGTGAAAGCTCAAATGATATTGGTTAGAATCCTTCACTTGAATTTTAATTACAGACCCAATTAGATCCTCCTTTGATTAATTTAGCAGGCTATAGGTTTCAATCAGCCTACTCACTGAAGGTAAAAATGGTTCAGCTTCTGTAAAGTACTCAGTATAACTTGAACTGGCTACACCGATTTCTAGGGAGTTAGCAATTAAGATTAAATGAAGATAAAACAAGGGGATTTTGATATTTCCTTATTTGGACACACACAATTAACGAGAGGAGAGAATACAGCAATCACTTTCAATATATGCAATTAAAATATTCTTGCAAAAACTCAGTAGTGCAAAGGACAAAATGATTGATAACCAGTTACACAAACTGGATTACTGAACGCATAACTAGAATTTATATACCCTATTACTTGAAATGAAAACTAACCACATAAATACAGTTAAATGTATGATTAAGAGATTTAGCCTCATGCTTTATTTAACACAAGCACTTCTCTATTATAGATTTGAGCAAAATAGATCACCGCCTCTTTATTGGAGACCTCTTTACATTTTCTACACTAAATCTACAGGGATTTCTTGAGCTACATGTTTTGGTCATGTCCTTAATTGTTGGCATTCTGTTCTGAAATGTTATCCATGCATGTTATCAAAATGATGCAATCTGAATCTTATATCTGAGCCCAGAGTTCTGTTATCACTTTGCACGCAAGCAAATATTTTTCAAGGTTGTTCAAACAAATGTCAGCCAGTCAGAAGTTATATTGGAATGTATTTATTACATGTGCTTTCAGAAACACTTAACGGAAGAAATGAAACATTCCAAATATTAGAGTTTGGCATATCAAGAATTCAGTAATTTTGAGAGATCCAGTGGATATATTCAGTAGTAACAAGAGAGAAAGTTCAGTGAATTTGATAAAACAGTTTGCATTTGAAGAACGTGTTGTTTGGAGTAGTATTCAAAGCAATTTCACTACTGATGGATGTGATAGCTGTCCAAAGGCTTTGTTGCTAGAAATTAGTGACTTTTCATGGATTTAATATTTTGATATTTTTCCAACCTACTTGAGTCAATTGACCTCGAACCCAAATTTCCAATGTCACATGCTAGTGTGGAATGGATCACCTGATAACCCAATTTTTTTTTTTTTTAATGGGAGAAGTTAGTAGACTAGTAAAGATCTGGTGAGTACTTCAGTATATTGGTTTGCAGGAAACTTGAGATGTGATTTCTGGAGCAGCTTTAACACTACTGTTATTCGGGCTAGTTTTGAGCTGAGAATGGTGTAAGAGCTTCCAACTTGCCTTCTGAGATTTGATGTGCAGGGCAGTGATGTCTGCTTCAGGATCAAGTTGGAGAAGGGGTTATATAAAATAGACTAGGATGAAGAGATGGGTGATAGGCACAAGATAAGGCAGCTGCTTCTGGAGGGAATGGAGAATAATCTCTTAAGATAGCTGAATGAGAAATTCTGACTGAGTGAGTCAAAAATAGGAAAAGGGGAGCTAATGGTCTCCCACTAAACTATTAGACATCTCATCCTGCTTGAATTTTTTTCTCTTGATTTCATTATTTCAATATTACTTTTTAATATTTATTTTAGGACAAGACCAGAGTTGTGTCTCCTATAATTGATGTAATTAATATGGACAACTTCCAGTACGTGGGGGCGTCAGCTGATTTAAAAGGCGGTATGTACCTGTACTGGAATATCAGTCAACAAAAAAAATTAATGCATCAAAGCACAAAACACAACCGCTACATTCACTAAACAGACAGCATTAATGCACCCTTGTTCCTTTTCGCACATCTACTTGGGGTTTTAATACAGTCTTAGCCTGGCCTCAAATTGGATTCTGGTTCCATTATTTTAAAGCTGTTTTAAGCCAAAAACAAACTCTTGATGTTTATCCAACCCTGAATCCTCATGCAGAATTCTCACCAATGTTGATGGTAGCTTTTATATGCATTTTAGGAGCAGCATAAGGCCAGTATTTGATTCTGCTCTTAAATAAGGCATTTATCACTATACAGTTTGGCAAGTCGTCAGCAGTGTTGTGCTTATTGATTTTCCCTGCACCCTGCCCTGGATGCATTTATGCCCGTTTATTTAAAAACTAACACTAAACTCTTTTCAATTTGAACTAAGAGTGTTTGTATTATCAGTCATGAATTGTGTGCATTGGTAGTGTACAGTGTGCACCTTCAAAAATGTATATTGGTTGAAAAGATTCTATCATTCCATTATTTCTTAATTTTATATTGTAGAACTCAGATTCTACCATTCCAAATATTCTTTCAAAACCGTAAATTAAAAGCACTCCAGGAACCTATTCAGTATGAATAGTTTACTGTCACTCAATGCTTTATACCACTTATAAAACTTCAAAGCAGGTCTGAGCTCTTCAGTTCTGCCACTAAAATAAAAGACAAAACAAAGTGGATGAATGACAATCCCGGAAACTGAACTCTGTCCATATAATAGGTACTATGTAAGCCCCTTCCTGCTGGTCTCCTGTGTGTTTTACCCATGGCTTAGAAAGGTTCCATGGTTTAGAATGTAGTTCAGTTTCCGTGCTCATTTAGTTTTTAGTGTCTACTGAGACTGCCACTACATCTTTTGGTAGTACTGTCCGTTTTAGGAATGATCCCTACTAGCAAAACTAGACTGAATATTGTCAGCCTTCACTTCAGGCACTGTGCTTGAGTGTCAAGCCCATGGCTAGCAGTGCGGTGCCTGTCTAAGCACTAAATTAATTTTTATTAAAGGATGAGAAAAGGGGAAAATCCATAAATCCACTTTTAAATCTAGCCAGTTTCCATATGTTTTCATCTTTTTGGTCCAAGGCAATTTTCAGCATCTTCGCACTGTGGTATTGCCCGTTGGAAAAAAAATCTTTGCAATTATTGTAATAAAATGTTGTTAAATTAGATCAAAACAGTGCTAGGAGTGTGTCCTGCAAATGAAGTAAGAGGACATTCCTTTTTCACGAGGCATATACTTGAGTGATGCTTGTTGTTTAAAACAACTCCTTTTATTGAGTCAGTGAGCTCAGGCTTTCCCCAGTGACTGACGATGGTGAGAGAACACTATCATTAGAAGTGATCTCTACGCTTGTTCTGTGTTATAAAGTAACTTGCTCCTGCGTTCCAAAAGAGACCCCTTGTGTTCAATATAGGGTATATAACTCTTCCCTCAATAGTGCTTGTGCTCTCGAACAGCAACTATAGTACAGGCCACTGTAGTTCAAACCATTTTGTGGAATATAGAAGTTTTTCTTGTTGTGATGGAGACTGTACATTATTACCTAATGTAATACTATTTCCTTTTATATCTAAAAATGGCTTTTAATACGAAATCTTTTAATTTCTGTACTATTAACATTTTATAGGAACCTTCAAACTTGGTTTGTCTTGTAAGACTTGGTTTCTCTCATAAAACTTCAGAACTATACTCGCTTTCTGTGAATATAAATTTAATATAAATATCTTGTGTGGGTAGAAGATGAATTCAGCTGTTTTTCATTTTGATGTCCACATCAGTTCTGCCAGGCAGAAATCAACAGGCATGCATTAAGGATTCTTAGTGCGATAGAGTTTGTGGGGCAAATGTTTCTCAGCCAGTTATGTGGGTTTTTCCCCCCTTTTCATTCCATTTCTCCAAAGGGCAAACTGCTATCCCTGTATTCATGGAATAATAATAATAAAAAAAAAAACCCTGAGCTTTCTGACAAATCTGGAAATCCTCCATTAGTTCACTTCATCTGTTCTACATGCTTTTGATAGCAGGTGTAATGTGAATAGCTGGCATGTTAGCCATTATATAATAAAGCTTGTAGCGTTCTCCTAGTATCTTTTATAAAGCTCCATGCTTCAGGACATAAGTCTTCCCCAGTGACGGGACAAGAAGAAATTTTCACTGCTGATCAGTGAACTGCTAATTTAACTACTGCGTTTCTAGTACCTTCTTCTGAAGCATCTGGTTTTACCCTTAGCTGGAAGACAGGATGTTGGACTAAATAGGTGATTGGTTTGATTAATCTTTGGCAGTTTCTATGCTTGTTTTTCTAATCTTAAGTCACAAAGCAAGCAGTTCAAAGAAAGAGATTTTTTTTCAGCCTTATATAAAACAATTTTTAGCTACAACTAAAGCAATGCATCTGAAGGTTTTAAGATGCCATATTTTCTAAGCATGCAGTTAAAGAAAGTGGCATAAAGAGATTTCCAAACTAGGCAGGTGAAAGAAAATGTAAATAAAGTATTGTGACATCCAGGAGAGTTCTTGTAGTAAACAGAGATGAACAAATAAATATTAGCTGATGTTGGAATGGTATGTACAGTCTGACAAGTCAGACAATAACTTTGGTAATCCCCTCTTGTGTCTGTGATGACTAAAAAGTTCTTTGATGTTTTACTTACCCATAGATGTAGGAGACTAAATCATTGAGGCTTTTTGTTTCTCCATTCAGTTTTGCTGAATGGTATGTTTTAAAATACAATAGAGAAGTATTTCAAGATAAACTAAGTTTACATTTGAGCCCATTTCTGTGTCATACTCAGCTTCTTCTTTCATCTGGAGTCTTATTTGTTCTGTCCTTTCCTTTCCATTGTTCTCTCCCCACAGGTTAACCCTGAGCTTAGATTTTCATTGGAGTCCATATGTTAAAACTATTCATTTTGCGCTTTCTATCTAATTTGAATGTCGGATCCCAGTAATTTTAGTCATAAATTTGTTAGTAAAAGTTTACATTCATGGTTCAGCTTAACTTTCTTTTTTTTTCTTCCTCCTGTTTGTCCCTCATAGGCTTTGATTGGAATTTGGTGTTCAAATGGGATTACATGACACCAGAGCAAAGAAGAGCAAGACAAGGAAATCCAGTTGCTCCCATAAAGTATGTTCCTATTACCACCCTTCTCCTCTCAAAACAATTGTATATATTTTTAAAAGTGCAACTTCCTGAACTACCAGCTCACAAATATTGTCTTAGCAAATGATCCCTATGCTTACTGATAAGCACTAGGGAGTCCTTTTATGGAAGTTTATATGCAAGATGAAAACTTGCAGTACTATAATGTTGTTCCAGAACATTGCATGCAGGTAGCCTCACGCTAAGTGTCATCCTTTGCTGTCTTCTCTCTCCTTCTCCCCCACCCCCATATTCTTCTAACTAAACATATGGTTTTTAGTATTGTGCAAGCTGGCGGTGTACCACATGGAATAGAAAAAAGAAACCGATAATAAAAGCCAGTGCATTTGAATGGAAATAAAATCATGATGTTCCTTATTGTTCAGCTTCCATTATTGATAAACATAATAAGCAAAAGTCTGACAACATGAAGAACTTCCTTTATTTTTCCCTTTTTCTAGAATGTGTAGAATTATCTTTTAACCAGCTTGTTGGCTGTTAAACATCATGGGTTAACTATCAATTGTCAGATATATATGACATGAACATTACATACATTGCTTGATTTGACACATTGAAAAATGTACATTGACTGAAGCCTATTATGACTGACTGGACTACCTCATTTTTCCCAGCTGCAAAAATGGGATATTGACCCATCTCTCTGGGATGATGTGGCTTAGTTCATTGATTGCTTGTTTAGCACTCTTGAGACCCTCCAATAGAAATAGTTACAGTGAACAGTATTATTTCTAAGAATTTTAGTGTGCTGTCTGCGCTAATAAGATGACCTCTTCTTTCTTGAATTGAAATTAATATCTTTATTAGGCTAAGACTGTTAGGGGTTTTAAAAATCAGTATGACTGTGAATACATGTCCTATATTAAAAGGAACTTTAGACCTGAATAAGGATCTGGAAGTAGAAACAAACTTTAGCTATATAAATCATGACGGAGTATATTCCTTAGAAATGCTAGTGTGGTGGCATGTATGTAGTACTACATAAGGAATAGTGATTAAATCTTGCAAGATAAAAACAGTGCAACGCTATTCAGCCTGGAAGGTTCAAGTGGCAGATAGATCATTCAATATTTAACTTCTAACTTTCTCCCTTCTGTCTCTTTAGAACACCAATGATAGCTGGCGGCTTGTTTGTGATGGACAAATTCTATTTCGAAGAGTTAGGAAAATACGATATGATGATGGATGTGTGGGGTGGAGAAAACTTAGGTATGTACATTTCTCATTGGGTTTCCTTTGGAGAAAAGAAAATTATTTCTTTAACCTATTTTTTTTTTTTTTTTTTGAGATCATGGGCTTCATTTATAGAGAGGATTGAAATGGTAATTAACTAAGTGGGTTATTGGCAAATATTGAGACAACAAAGCTTCACTTTAAAATAAAGCATTGGAATAGGAAAGGCTGGCATGCTGAATATGAATGTCTGAGGGGGAAGCATTTAACTATACCTTTCAATTACTTTTGTGAAAAGGCAAGCCACGAAAAGAAAGGAGGGAAGGAAGAATTTGCAGGAATGTAGATGTACTTTTTGGAAAAAAAAGTTCCTATGTAGCTCAGAAATGCCACTCCCTTTTAGCAAAATTGATTAAAATGCAGCAGGTTCTAAGTGCCACCAGTTGAAAGGGCTTTCTAAGATGCTGCTGAAATTTAATCATGTAAACCAGAATACAAAAGTTCATGAGTTTAATCCTCTTATGTGTACTTTAAGAAGTCAGTTGAAATGTAGCTGGATGAAGACTGATCTAATATAATTTTTTAATCATCTGTCCTAGTGGACCACTTGGACCTAAGCTTAAGAGAGTTGTATTGTTTTTTGTGGGGGAAAGGGGAAATAGCCTTTGACCGTGATCTGAGGCTTGTTCTTAGGTCAAGGGTGATATTTGAGTGGAATAATTCTGTTTTAGTTGTTTGGGTTAGAGCAATATGAAGTTTTTTACCTCTGTTGAGTGTCTTGTATTCAAAAACATTTTTCACCGTGACAACTTTTTAGAACTTCCTGTTTGCTATTGTCTTTTACTGAAGGGCTAAATTAAGTATCTTAGTTTTTTGAAGCAGTGTTATTTGGAAACCAGTTACAATTCAAATTTTGTGCACTGCACATGCAAAGTATACTGCTTTTAGTGTGTATCTGTCTGTCCAGGGTTTTTACATACTTACTTATTTAAAGGCTTAGAGTGCATTTATCTGAATGTGTTGCCGGAAATATACTACAGTAATACAAATAATTGATATGTTCAAAGGCTAGAAGGATTGTGTAGTCTGCCATCCTGTATAACAGGCCATAAAACTTCACTAAAATAAGTCCTGGTTGAACAAGAATACACAATGGAATATTTAAACACTTTTATTCAAGTTTTTGGCTCTCATGTTGATTGTGTATTACTAAATCATACTTATTTGAATGTTGCAATTATGGTCACTTAAAAAAAAAAAAACCTGAGGAAATTCATTGTAAAATTAATACTGCATGTGGCAGTTAACTTTACTTTAACTGAAAGTATTTTTAAACCAGTGCATACAGTATTACCCTTGAGTCAGTATGTTTTAATGCCCTTCTTTCTTTACTTGTTGGGAGAAGGTTCCAGCAACTCACTCAATCCTTCCTTCAGTGGAAACACAATCCTGAGTGTCATAGCCAATCCTGAGATGTTTGTCCAAACACTTTATCTCCTGCTATTCCATCTTCTCCATACTGTTGCCTTTCACTTCCTGAATACTCTTTGGGCTCTAATCCGGCAAGGCACTTAAATACATGTTTAACTTCCTGCATGAGTAGTCCTATTGATTTAATGTGCTTAAAGTTAAGCAGGCACTTAAATGCTTGCTGGATCAGGGACTTGGAGGAGGAGAGGGTAGGATGCAAGCTGTAACTTTTCTCAAGAAGCAGAGCTTTTGAGAGTAACAAAGAGCTGTTTTATGGTGCTCCCTCTGCCCCTGCTCCCCATCTGGAAGGATGTGAGGGAAGCTAGAGGCACTTCTGAAGACTCCCTGGGCAGTTACTTTTCTTCCTGTAACTGGTGTCAATTGCTGCATAAATGAAGTTAAGAGTAGCAAGTAGTGAACTTTCTGCATGCACCCCAGGATTAGGTCAAAATGAATTGACAATAAAAATTGAATAGCCTGCATTTTCTATTTAAAATGAACAATACACACAACAAATACCAGAAATCTACATTGTACAGATTGAACCTCTCTAGTTTGACATCGTCAGAAATGCAACCTTTGCTGAATCAGAGAATTTGCCAAACCATGACAGGTCAATATTGTCTCGCAGCATTACCAATGCTTCCACTGCTTTTACAGGGCTCTTAAAAGACATTTAAGGGTAAATTAGCTAATAGCAGCACAGAATACTAGGAATGTTAGCTATCATGTAATTGAATAATTGTGTAACCACAGGAAATTTTAGCTGTTACAGGCAGTCCCCGGGTTACGTACAAGATAGTGACTGTAGGTTTGTTCTTAAGTTGAATTTGTACGTAAGTCGGTACTGGCGTCCAGATTCAGCCGCTGTTGAAACAGACCAGCGGCTGACTACAGGAAGCCGAAGGCAAAG